CAATATAAACAGAAAATTAATAGCTTGTGCAACACGAATATTAAGTTTCCTTGATAATATTGATGTAATTATAACATTTGTCTTCCATATACTATTCTGAGATGAGTGATTTTGAATCAGTATAGGTATAGTAGTATCAACTGCATGTTGAAGCCAAGGCTGTCCTTAAAATACATATAAGAATGGAATGTAAAACTTCACTAAGAAGATATTAAAAATATAGGATCCATCATACACTGTTGTTCAGTCATTGTAAGGCATAGTTCCTATATATCTTGTGATTCATTTGATGCACTTTAGGGATATATATTAGATCAGAATAATTCAGAATGCAAAAATATTTTTTGTTTCTTGCCATAAACTTCAGTTATAGCTTGCCTTTACACTGTCATTGTATATCACACATGTTCAGACCTATCCACTTGCTTGGTATACACTGACTCTCTGCAGTGGTGGCAGGAATAAGCTGTGCTATACGAGACTACTCTGATTTGTCCTGTGCCTAACTAGCATTAAAGTTTGTAGGGGTTACAAAAACTTTAGTGCTGGGATAAAGTTTTAATTTTAAGACTTATGATGGTTATATATAGCCATCCTTGATTTTATCAACTGTAACAAAATTTTATTCTGTAATTTAGAATATAAAACATGATAGAACCTCAGGATATATTTCATGATTTTCAGAATTTTAATATGATTTTAATGTTGCAAGATATCCTCAGGTAACCAGCTTCAACATTGTTTTATGAGAATTGCGAGATTGTATAAGGCTCTTATTGAACAAGTTTATAACAAGCTACTCAATAAGAAATTGTTAAACTAACATAAGTCAGTCATGGGATGATCAGTTCTGTGTAATGGTTGAATGGGGATAGAATCTCATGTTTTGAGGCTGCAATAAACCTAACTTGTTCATATTTTCTTTTATTATCCAGAATTTTGATTGTCTTGTACTGCAGTTTATTTATCATGATTGTATCATCCTACAGGGTCTGATGAGATATGTGATGTGTCAAAATATACATTTGTTAGGTACTGTATTGTATAAATATTGTGAATGTAAGAATTTATTGTACTAAAATAAATATATTGAGTATAAAAATTATTGTTGGGCATGTAGGCATGAATTTGTCGCTTCAGACACGTGACATTGTTGTTGTGGTGGCAGCCGTCTAGTGCAACGGATGGATCTAGACAAGAAATTTTAATAATCTGTACATATAAGTTATAGTTATGGCTATTTGGTATACTGTATATTAATTAATAGATATCATAATTATATGAGGCAAATTTATAGGATTAAAATATTGTTTCCAGTGGATGTGGGCGGCTTGACATTTGTCACTTGGGGTCGCTGGCTGGACGGACTGAAGAACTTAAATAATAATAATAATAATTAACGGTTTATTGAAAGAGCATGGCAGCCGGAAGGCTGAAAATATACTGTAGTTACATAATTGGGGAATGGGTATCTTGATTTACAAATAATATACAAGTAACATAAGTGATACAAATATAATATATAATAACTAGGTGGGGAGAAGCTCAAGTTACAGGGCATTTCAACATAGTGACAGTGAAAAAAGTAAGATTGACTGGGAGTGAATACACTGGTTGATTAGTGGTTGTTGATAATTTTTACAATGGTTGGGACTGGGCTGTTCTTATAGCGATCAGTTCGTGCTCGTATGGGCGGGATGCTGTTGTGGTGTCGAACTTTGTACTGGGTTCATGCTGATTTGGAGAGTTATGATGTGAGTAAGTTAGCATTATTTTTTTTATTGGAGCAGTATTCATTAACAGTATAGCTTACATTAAAAATTATAAGGTTCTTGTTAAATAATTCTGGATCTGATGTTTATTTTATATTTGTGTTTGCATGTTTATTTATTGTATGTTGATTCCTAGGTTGAAACCTACTTCAAATAAAGTGGTGTTACTGCAGCCTTGACTTTACATTGGTACGACCCAACAATGATTAATCATGGACTAATATCAGCCAGTGTAGAATGTAAGATATAATCCCTTAATAACTTGTATTTTCATAAAACACACACACACACTTATATATATATATATATATATATATATATATATATATATATATATATATATATATATATATATATATATATATATATATATATATATATATATATATATATATATATATATATATATATAATGGTTACCCCTCATATACGAGGTTGGCCAACCCTAGGGCCACCTAGGTGTGAATTTGTTAAAGGTGTGGAAGTTGTTGTTAATAAAACAACCACACTCTTGAGTTAAAGAGCTGTATGACCCAGTGTCAAGGAAAAGTCCTAGAAGAGGACAATTTGCCAACTGCACTGGCTAACCATCACCCCAGAACATGATCTGCAAATCGATTAACAGCCAGGTTCACAATTGCTGCTGGGTAGACAGAGGCAAATGGTGTAAAGAAACTTGTCCTACCTAAGGATCAAACCTGGGTCCACTCACTTGCGAGGCAAGCCTGCTGACCATTACACACACGCACACAAGAATACCTCTATTCGTAACCCCGCTCATCCATTTTATATATATATATATATATATATATATATATATATATATATATATATATATATATATATATATATATATATATATATATATATATATATATATATATATATATATATATATATATATATATATATATATATATATATATATATATATATATATATATATATATATATATATATATATATATATATATATATATATATATATATATATATTGTAGTGGATTCCTCCCCTACAAACGCCGTGTGTCGCTGATTAGCCGACCCCTGCGAATTCACCAGCCTGCACCTCGTGGACAAGGTCAGGTAACCAGCGCCCCCGAACAAAAGCGGAGGTCTACAATCAAGCCACGCCTACCCCCGCTATATAAGACCTCACCTGGCCCTGACCTGCCCTTCTTCTAGCTACAGCCGCAGCAAGCAACACCTCCTCTGAGCACCCTCACCAACCAGCTCTCCCTACTCACGCTTGTAACCACGCTGCCTCCTCCCAGCACCAGCCACCAAGCTGCATTGTACATCCAATATAATATGTATACAGAGAGCACATTGTGAGTTTCCTTTCTCCATCCCATCCTGAGTGTGAACCAATATCTCATAACCCCACATATGGTGACCCCGGAGATTCGCACTCACACAGGATGGAGGAGAAATATCGCGTACCCCACAAATGGTGACCCCCAGAGATTCGCACTCACACAGGATGGAGGAGAAATATCGCGTACCCCACAAATGGTGACCCCCGGAGATTAGCACTCACACAGTATGGAGGAGAAACCGATCACTCTCCCAGTCTTCAAGCAACATGGAAGACTGGCTTACCCACACAGAGGCAGCTCTCATCGGCTCTACAGCTACTGTCTCTACACCGCAGGTTAGACACCCTAGAGCAGCACTGCTTCTCTAAGCAGACACCAGCTCCTCTTCCTGCCCCAAGCACCACGTCCTACCAACCCCAGCAGGCGCATCTGAGGACTCTGTACCTGCCGCGAGGGAAGCACAACACTCATCGCCCCCACACACCCTTTTTTTTCCCTCAGGTACTCCCTGCTACTGTCCTGCACCCTGCTGCTGTCGTTGACCCTGCTACTGTCATGCACCCTGCTGCTGTCACGGACCCTCTGACCCAGGCCCACACACCCCAGCAGGCGCATCTGAGGACTCTGTACCTGCAGCGAGAGAAGCACAACATTCACAACCCTCCTTCTCCCTCTCTTCTCCCACAGATCTCGTGTGTCTAGACAAGGTTGTCTCCCCTAGCGGCTGGCTCATCCACGCCCTCGCCGTTATGTCTCAAATGTGGCATACAACCCTGCCGACAACAAGTCTCCTGTACCGCCCGTTCTGCCTCACATGTGGCATGCAACCCTGCAGACAACAAGTCTCCTACACCGCCTGGAGGGAAGGGGGGAGCATTGTAGTGGATTCCTCCCCTACAAACGCTGTTTGTCGCTGACGAGCCGACCCACGAATTCAGCCTGCGCTGCCTCGTGTCCTAGGTCAGCAACCAGCGCCGCCATACATCACGGAGGTCAACTATTAAGCCAGCCTACCTCCGCTACATGAGACCACACCTCGTGGTGACCTAGCTCTTTCTACCTACAGCCACCAGCAAGCAACACCTCCTCAAATCCTGCCTGGCGGCTCCCGCTCCAGCCGGCGACCATGGCGACCCACAAGCTTGTCCTCCTCTGAGCACCCTCACCAACCAGCTCTCTACTCAACGCTTGTAACCATGCTGCCTTCCCAGCACCAAGCTGCATTGTACATCCAATACAATATGTATACAGAGAGCACATTGTGAGTTTCCTTTCCCCATCCCATCCTGAGTGTGAACCAATATCTCATAACCCCACAATATATATTACTGTGCCCTTGGTCACAGTAGGGTTGATTTCTTGAATTTTTTCCACTAATTTCCCATGACATTCTTGTTAAAGAGATCCATTCTTGTAATCATCGCTTTTTATTTGCCACAATGATGGAAACGGAAACTGCTTATAAAGTTCAATGAACTCTCTCCACAACTCATGGGAGAGCGATCACCATAGCGGTTCACTGAGCATGTTTGATCATACATCGTCACATACTATCCAACATGTTTGACAAACTTCAAGTTGGACGAGAAAATATAAAACTTGTTTAATTGTCATCAAACATGTTGGTCACACCTTCAAACTTGCCCACACACTCTCAAATTGTATGATTAAACACCATGTTTGACAAATTTATTTGATAGAGTGTAAGGCGCCTTTAGAGTAACCTTAATAAAATAGATTATTAACAGAAAATCACCAAACACATACAGTGACTAAATTTACAGAATTTAAGATAATGAATACTATTTTATTGTAATTTCATAATTTTTAAGGATTTAGAATAAATTTAGGTTAACAGATTTTGACTCCTGGTAATCGTAGCCTCGCCTCTGCGCCTGCGTCAGCTGCCTCGCCTCACTCTGGTTCAAATTCAAACAAGGAAGGCAGGTGACGGATGAACTTACTTCAATATACATTTACTGCGCTATTACCTGAGACAGTAAGTTATATCTTTGTGTAGATGGGGGAATAGATTATATTACTCGCTAGATAACATATATATATACAGCTAGCTCTGGTAAGAGTGTTCATCTTGTTTTTATGTGGCCAGAATGAGAATGTTATTAGCAGTTTAAAAGACTGACATTTAAAAGTTTAATTACAAATTTTATGGATATTTAAGTATGTAGTGAAGATAAGGTGTGAGTAGATGTTCCTGTGTCTAACCAACATAAAGTTAAAACTGAATTTTAAGATGCCACACTGATTGGTACTGTTCTCGAGGTAACAACATTTATACAAGTCATTTTACACTTTCTGGCAAGTTAAGTGTGATTCTTGTTAACATAATGAACGAAACTGGGTTAATTTTTACTTTTGGGCATGAATCCCTATGGGTTGACCAATATCTTTTTCCAGTGTATTTTAAACTAATCTGACCTTCATTTTTGGCAGATATTGCTCGTTTTTGCACCCCCCCCCCCACCACAATAATGGGGTAGAGCCTGGCAAATCCGGGTTTTTAGGTGGGGGAGAAAACGAGACATATAACCTAACATAACCCCTAACCTGGAGCTCTGCCCCCGGACCCCTGGTAGGCCTAACTTAAACTAACCTAAATGTTTCAGTAATTAAAAACTTTGTGGCATGCCTTGTCCAAAAGCACAATACCTTAGTTAGAATTGGAAGAACCAGGGATATGTAAGAATTGGATAGAATAATCGTCTTTCTCATAAAACTCGGCAATAAACTTAAAATAATCTTAGGAGCACAAATGACAACCAACCTTCACCAGGGCCATTGTGAGACTGGTCAATGACATTACCCAGGCTGCTTCTATTATCCATTTCCGCCTGGTATATATGGGGTTCAAAATGCTCAGAATAGCGAGATGTAAATGTTTCAGTAGTTTATAACTTTCGGGGGCGCTATGTCCGAAAGTAAAATAATACCAAATTTTGTAAAGGTAGAGCAGTAAATTTAACCAACTTAATCACAAAATACAATATATTGACAACTAACATGTTAATATAAGTGTTTGTTCATATCAAAGTTTACAGTATTCATGTTTTAATTTATAGAATGCAGATCGTGGTGGAAGATGACAAGAAGATAATTTGGTAATCAAGTCTGTATATTTGGCGAGTCACAAAATAAATTAAGTGGCTCTGGCCATAGTATTGCGGCTTCCTTAGTTCCTAGCCCATAGACCGTGTGGCCGTATTATTAGGCCTCGAGTTTATGTAAGAGAAAGTGTCTCCCACTAAAAAACTCGTAAGTTTAATGCAAAATGATGAATAAAATAGAATGTATTATCTTACGAATGCCATATGACGGCCATGCAACTTGTGAGCTAGGTAGGTAAAGCCACATTGCAAAAAGAAACAAGAAAGAACTGTAGTGATGTGTTGACTGCCCCTTCCCCATCCAGGCCACGTGTCATCAACAAAATACTATATTGGTTAAACAAAAAGAAGAAAAAAAATCAAAGTGGAGCAGACGGCTAGCACCAGAAGGAGTTGTTCGATTTGGTCCATTTTTCCACAGATGTTCTTTGAATAATAGTAGTAATAAAAATGACACGACAGTGTACAAGACCTAATAGAACCTGACCTAACTAAATAAATTTACCTAATCTTGAGATAAATGTATAGTATAGTATATATCAGGTGCCTCAAAGAGAGCTCAGGTTCTCAACTGGCTCAGCCATGTTAATATTGTTATTATTATCCACTCTGTATCTGTATTTTTCTGGCTAAATAAACTGTTACAATTAAAAAAAAATTCAAATTCAACCGTAACGAATTTCCTGCTGGATCCCCCCGGCCCCCACCCCTCCCCTGGCATATTAAGCAGAATGAACCTACTTTTGATATCTGGTTCCAAGGAAAGCAAGTTTCTTGAAGCAGCATGGTGTAATTTTTCGTTTTTTGTGGACATGCGAGTAGCTTGGTTGTTGCACTGAAACAAAGAGTGGACGACAACACGTGCTGACACAGCAGATTTTTATTTTGGGGTGGGGGGGGGGTGAATATTTATGGTAAAGCAAGTAGAGACATCATTTTTGTGTCATGATCGGTTTTTCATCGTATTTTACCCCGCAATTCCCTCACCCTTCATACTCTGCCCACTACAGATCAAGAAAAATGTAAATCTTATAATTATAATAAAAACTTGCATCATCATAATTACTATCATCCAAAAAAAAGTGGAAAAAATTAACAAATTGAACTCCTTTGGGTGTTAGCTGTCCGCTCCACTGTTACAAAAAGAAAAGCAGTTTACTAAGAGTAAAGGACAGTTGTGCTTTGCTGTTATCCCTTGTTTAGCGACACTTTCTCTTAGCGTTATGTTTTCAGGAATGCAACACCATTGTTAAATGAGGGATACCTGTAGTGAAAAGTGGGATTGTGGTATGCTGGGTCACAGGGATTTATTCAGTTCCATCTTCAATCGTATATAAAAAAGTATAGTTATGTATATTTATTGTAAATTGTATATTAATTTAGAAACCATGATAGGTGACTTAAGGATAGTTTGATCTGGGCCTTAAAGAAGTCAGCACCCCACCATGTGGGGTGCCTTATGTTGGAAGCTTAATCATGAAACATGCAATAATTAGTTGTACTTCAGGTGTCATTTATATTTGATGCATTGTCTTTGTTTTCCAGTCCTATTAAAAATGGAAGAAAATGTCCAGCCAGAATTGAATTTTACTTCACCTCGAAAGCATCAAGGTTCCCTGGGTAAAGTACCTTCACATCTTACTACCCCTGTGTCAGTTCGTCGCTCCCCTCTAAAGGATATAGCCAATAATCCTTCAGAACTTAAAACAGTCAAGAAAGATTGCAAGGTGAGATGGCTTAAAATTTTTCGGCTTATTGTACAAAAATATAATTGCTTGTGTGATCACTGTATGGCAGCATGATTTATTCATACTGTAGCCACGTTAAATTTTTTAAGTACAATACTTTACTGTATTGCCGTATGTATATTTTTTTCATGCATTTACATGTACTGTACAGAATCATAGAGCACCCTCACAGTTTGAAGACATCCATCAGCAGGATGAAGAATCAAGTTGGCGAGAGCGCACAGAGGTCGTCACCCGCATTGATCATGCTACATATCACATGTTTGCTGAAGAAATACTGAAGGAAGCTGTAAGCATAGTTACTAAAGAACCAGCAAAGTAAGTTTTTAATTAAGTTGAGTTTCATATACAATTTGTATATATAAAATTAAACAAATCCTTTTATCTTGCCTAGTAGTAGTAATGCCTACACAGCTTTAACATATATACGTAGATGATATACTGTACAGTGGTCCCTCGGTTAACGAACGCCTAGGTTAATGAAATTTCGGTTAACGAATTACCTTCCATAAGAATCTTCATTTCGGTTAACGAAATTCTTATGAAATTGTTTCGACATGCTTTGGCTTGCTCACCAGCTGGAAGATTAGTTCGCCAATACAGAAATCGGCTCTAGGGCTTACATTCGTTAAAATTGGAGTAAATATCAAGAAGGTTGTACTATTCAATAATTCTCCAAGTTTTATATAATTTTTTTTTGTCATTTTAACACTAATTTAACATAATTGCAGTACAGGGAACTAGTTTTTGGTGCGCCCATCAGCCACTTCACTCACCCACCAAGGCCTCAGTTTGTGTCTGTTCAGTGGAGGAAACATCTTGCTTGTGGGTCTCTTGAGCACAGAGTATTTTTACGTTTTTACAGTACAATTATTGGTCATTCTGAAATTTATTTAACATATTGACAATATGTAGTGCAGTGCAGTGTTGATTTAAAGAAAATAATCTTGAATTACACCTAGTGAACTTAAAATTTTATGGGTAAAATGACGGCATCAAGCATGGGGTGATTTCTCTTCTCCCTTCTCCACCCCCACTTCTAATTCCCATCATCATTATCATCAACCAGGAGCCTTCTACATACTCACCTCAAAGTAAGTGTACTTTACTGCATTTTTTTTTTTTTTTTTTTTTTTTTTTTTTTTTTTTTTTTTTTTTTTTAGTTTGTATGTAATTTTCAGTGAGCTGGAACCAATTACCCAAAATCCCATTGAAACAATGGTTTCGGTTAACGATTGACCTTCTGGAACGAATTGTGTTCGTTAACCGAGGGACCACTGTACAGTACTGTACTAGCCTTCATTTGTGTGACCTCTCAACATTGGTGTATGTATTGTAATGTTCCATTATATTATAGTTTTTACAACTTTAGGTTTCAGGACTCATAGATTCCAAACTAATGGTACAAATAGTGCACATACCTAAATCATAAATTACTTGCTCACATGATTTTTTTCAGACCTGAAATAGTGTCCAAGGTGCCCTTTCATAAAGCTGTTGCAAAATTCAGAGAAGAAAATGCTTCAAACCTTGGAGAATCAGGTATGTCCATAAAATATGTAGCTAATATGAGCATTAGAAGGGGAAGAAGCGCCAAATTAAAAAAAGCTGAGAAAAATGCATTTCAAGTTTTTCGAAGTTCAAACAACCATATTTTGTTTTTTGTTTTTTAAGCTTGAGGATTAATTTTTGTTTTATTGTGCAGCTCAATCCCTCTCCTAGCGATCTGTGAAAACTGGAAGTTAGTACAGTATTGTGAATACTGTAGTTATTATTTTATCGCGAATTGAATGAGAATATCTACCCGTGATGTACAGTTGTTTGATCTTCAAACCAACAATAATCACGTTTTTCTGCAAAATTTTCTTATTATTGTAGGCTAATACTGTAAAAAAAGTTAATGATCACCAAAAACCACTCGTGTTACACCCACCTCCCCAAAATTAAATAATAATAAAAACTCATTTGCCTATCAGTATTTATCTTTCCATCCCTATTATTAGCCAAAGATTTATAATATTGTTAAGTATAATAGTGTGTAATAATGAGGAAACACCACTACACTCATCCCCCACCATTAACCTCCCCCCCCACCATTAACCTCCCCCACCATTAACTTCCCCCACCATTAACCTCCCCCACCATTAACCTCCCCCCACCATTAACCTCCCCCACCATTAACCTCCCCCACCATTAACCTCCCACCATTAACCTCCTCCCCCACAACCTACCATTAACCTCCCCCACCATTAACCTCCCCCACCATTAACCTTCCCCCCCATTAACCTTCCCCCCACCATTAACCTCCCCCCACCATTAACCTCCCCCACCATCCACCGTTAACCTCCCCCCATTAACCTCCCCCACCATTAACCTCCCCCACCATTATTTAACCTTCCCCCACCATTAACCTTACCATTAACCTTCCCCCACCATTAACCTTACCTACCATCCTTCCCCACCATTAACCTTCCCCACCATTAACCTTCCCCCACCATTAACCTCCCCCCACCATTAACCTCCCCCCACCATTAACCTCCCCACCATACCATTAACCTCCCCCACCATTAACCTCCCCCCCCACCACCATTAACCTCCCCACCATTAATCCCCACCATTAACCTCCCCCCACCAACCTTTAACCTCCCCCCACCATTAACCTTCCCCACCATTAACCTTCCCCCCACCATTAACCTTCCCCCACCATTAACCTCCCCCACCATTAACCTCCCCCACCATTAACCTCCCCACCATTAACCACCATTAACCTTCCCCCACCATTAACCTCCCCACCATTAACCATTAACCACCATTAACCTTCCCCCCACCATTAACCTTCCCCCCACCATTAACCTTCCCCCCCACCATTAACCTTCCCCCCACCATTAACCTTCCCCCCCCACCATTAACCTTCCCCCACCATTAACCTTCCCCCCACCAACCTTATTAACCCCCCCCACCATTAACCTTCCCCCACCATTAACCTCCCCACCCGTAATTAACATACGAATACAAAGGCGGAGAAAGTTTGCATAATCTTTGGTAAAACCAGTATTACAATCTCACTTTGTTTAGTTCCTTTGTTTTATTATCTCTGAAGATCGTAGTAACTTGAAATTACGTAAATCCTGAGGATTGATTATAACTTTCTCTGCACTCTCTAAAAATCGCCACACAGATTCTTCATCAACTAAATCATTGATTATTGATGCCGACAACAGTTCAGTTTCATTATTAGACTGAGTTATGGGCTCACATTCACTAGCATTCGTTGGGTCAGGCTCACTTTCATCACTATCAAGGTCATTGCATGTTGTGTCACTGTCCACTTCTACCTCCTCACAGTCTGTATGTGACTGTTGTGATACATTAGTGTCACTGTCTGTGTTACCATTTGACTCACTTTCATCGCCATTATTGCCGTCAGTGCATGTCTCGTAACTTTGTACCGGATCACAGTCTGCAAAAAGGTCTTGTGATGCATAGCAGTCACTTTTTGTAGTACGAGTATACACTATACCAAAATCGCTATCACTATCACCAAGCATTCCTGGTGTGTCCACGTGAGCACTGTTGTCACTAAACCCACGCTCAGGAATAATAGGCTCCTGAACCCACACCAGAAGGCCTGACCTCACTTGAGTGTTGCTCTAATATTGGGCGGATATTGCACAGCACTTCTCACACCCGTGAAACACGAATAACGTCAATATTATGCCGAAAAGTTATAAAAAATAGCAGTAGAAAGTACACCGAACCTCCTTATGCTATGAAACTCGTCAAAACTAACGAGGCAGCCTCTGGGTGTGTGGATTGGCCGAGGAGCTGTGATGTAGCAAGGGAAAATCAATTGTGATTGGCTGCCTCAGGGGGCATGGTCCAAGGGAGGTGCGCTGTCATTAGCTTGCGCTCTGAACGGGATGCTGATAACCACAAGAAAACACAAAGTTCCCAAGCGCTTTCGTTTAATTCACATCTTCAGGGGTGAGTACAGACTGTGCTTGGGAACTTTGTGTTTTCTTGTTTCCTTGTGGTTGTCAGTATATACCTGGATCATGCGCACCTACAGTGATTTTATCAAGATTTATCTTATCCACATTTTCATTGTGGATCTACATGAATATATATATATATATATATATATATATATATATATATATATATATATATATATATATATATATATATATATATATATATATATATATATATATATATATATATATATATATATATATATATATATATATATATATATATATATATATTATAAGTAACGATGAAGTTTATTATAATAAAAATGCTACTTTTGGTTTGTTTACTATTTATCATGACAGTGATACAGCCCCCAAAATAGATCCACCAATCACAATCACCTTTACATACAGACTTACTTCAAGTATTGCCACGTAAAATTGTATGTATGAGACCCAGGGTGGGGTCAGTGCATCTTTGGTTGACTGTATGGTATTATCTATTCTCAACTTGCATGAGAAACATTCAGCGCATTAATCAATACATGTTAACTTGGCATTTGATCATTACTTTACTTTGATGATTATGATTACTCAGACATTGCTGGTCTGATCTGGTACGGTACTTATATAAAATACTAATTGTGATTCTGGTCCTATCTAAGTCCCTTCTTTGAGCAGTCTGGGTGAGCCTTTGGACAATGGTGACTTTAGATGGAAATGTTTTGTCAAGGTTTCATATTTCCATCATGAGAAAGGACAGGAGGGGAACTAGGTAATTGTTGAAGTACAGGTTGTACAGTATGTATTAAAATATCTTCTATTTCAGATTCAGAATATGAGAGTGCTGAAGAATTAGAAGTTGATAAATCTTCGATGCAGAGACAACTGTCTCCTGTTCTGCCAGTGGCTAATTCTATACTGAATATCACTTCATCAGTTAATTGTACACCAAATAGGTAAATAAATTGTCTGAAATCTATAAAGTAATAATGAATTACAGTATGGTATATGTCTACATAAAAATTATCTTTTAACTTGGCTATTTTTCCAGAAGGTAATTGAATTATTGCTCACCTATGTTAATCCTAGGGATGCTTCAGAAAACTAAGTGGATACAGCACTTTGGTTAGTGGCCAAGTCCCCCAGGCCCACCTTGTTGTAAATGAATATCTAACTACAGCTGGTAAAGTGAAAGTGGTCAAGGGCAGTTCTGGCGGTAGGGGCGGCGGCAGTGTCTTTCCAGCGTTGGCGCTTGTCTGCCTCATTATGCAGTTTGGCTTGTTTGAAAGTATTGACACCTTGTGTGGTGATCCTCCAAGTGTTATGGTGTGGAGTAATCGTCTCCCAGGTAAGGGGGTCGATTTGTCACCTTTTCAGTAGCCCACCAGCGTTATGTTTACTACTCATTAGGTGACTGTAAAGTAGCTGCTTTGGCAGTCTACTGTTGTCTGTGTGGGTAACAAGGCCAGTCCAACACAGTTGTTCATGGATAATGGTAGCCTCGCTGCTTGGTGTCGGCGAGAATACTGGCATTTGTTCTCTTTTCTTCCCAGCGAACTCGGAGGATGGAATGTAGACTATGTTGGTGAAAGTTTTCAAGTACCTTGATGTACCTTCAGTATGTGACCCATGTCTCGCTGCCATATATCAGGGTTGGGAGGACCACTGCTCAATATACGTGTAACTATGTAGCGGTTCTTCTTTCAGGACGCTCACATGTGCCAGTATCGAGAAGGGTTCTGACATTCCATGCAATGACTATAAGAGGTTGTATAGTTTGTTTTTGTTTGGTTCTGTGATTTTTATTGTGATTTTGACCCCTCTCAGGTTTTTTTTTTTTAGGCAGGCTATGTTTAGGGCACCTTTTCTAGCCCCCTCCCCTTGTGGGGTGAGCAGAGTAGCTACCTGAAAGGGCTGCTCAATTTCACAGACAGGACCGGATTGCACTGCAGCCTAGATCCCAGTTCATAAACGACCCTCTTATCTGTGCCGCCCATGTGCAGAGTTGTGACTAGACTCCCGGCAGTCATCTCTGCCTGTCCCTGTCGGCATAGGACTTTTGGGGGTAGGTATAGAGGTTTTGATGATGAGAGGTATGGTGAGCTGGATGATGGCTGTGCGTGGGTTGATTTATGTGGTGAGGCAGGAGCGCAGGCTCCAACCACACATCTTGGCTCTCCCTTTTCCTGGTCCAGTGATGCAAGTGTTGTAATGACTGGGGAGTGGGGGAGGCGTAGGTTGCAATAGACTGCGATATCCCAGTTTGTTGGGTTTCGCCTTAGTAGCCTGTCCAACAGGCATTGCCTTCATCCGCCGGTGTAGTTGTTGGGTTCCCATGGTGGTCATCTCTTCTGCCTATACTGCCATTGGGGTCTTGTTGGAGCTCTGTATGTATGTCTGCCTGATGCAGGGCTCCACCGCAGATTTTCCATTCAGGGTTTCTTCCCGTAGCCTTATACCTACCAAGGTTGGTGGGCGCCAGGACGTGTTCACATGCCAGTGGGCCTATGCGCTGTCGCTCTGGGACTCACTGCTACTCCAAGATCCCCTGCTGGTCTAGCCTGGGCCCACAAGGCACCCAGTTACCGTATGTTGCCACAAGGAGGAACAGCAGGAGTCTTGATGGTGAAGAGGCTGTGTACTGGCAGGGTAAGACTTATGCAAGTTGCTTCCCTGTTCGCCAAGAGGGCTAGCCAGCGGTGGTAGCTGAAAGCGAGGGGAGCAAGCAGTGCTTTCTCCCTAACACTAACATAATGCTACCAGAGTAGATGCACTTCACCACCCTGTGTGCGAACACACACACACACATGCATACAGTACAGGTAAAAGAAATAATTGTCCTAAGGGCAAATGCACAAAGGGAATATACATTTCTTTGCAAACGAGTAAAATGCCTCCCCTGGTCAGCAAATATCATTGCAGATTTGTCTATTCGCAGCCATTTTAAGAACCTAACCCCCTTGAATTTGGGGGGCATGCTGTACAGTATTTATTTAAATAAACTTCAGGATGAGTATGGTAAAAAAAAAAAGTATTGTTTCTAACTTAATTAGAACTTATTTTAAAGATTCCGGTATAAACATTGCTTAAAGTTTTTCAGAAAAAAATCGAGTTCCCAACGTTACATTCTGTCAAAATAATTTTTTTTTTCAGTATATTTTATTTAAAAAACCTTATAGATGATTGATTCAGGATCCTTACGGTACTAAATTCAGTTGTTTTAACATAATTAGAACAGATTTTGTAGACAAAAGTTTGTACACTTTTTCACTAGCTGGTAAATATTTTCGTTCGCTGCAGTCGTGACCCCAATGACTAAAATGCTGAGAGTCATAAGAGAAGCACATACTACATGTTAATAATAAAGTACATTTTAGTTATTATTTGTTCACTTATCATGAGGTAGTCGAGGTGATGTGAGATGGCCGAAGTGATTGTACAACACTGACAATGTATGCTAACGTCAGTTGATTCTATTCAGCAGAGAGGGGACCCCCATGCACAAATGGTTAAGTTTTTATATTTTTTTTTTATAAAAAAGGCTCGACTTTGACACTGTTCCCGGAAAAAAGGTTAGTCTTGTTTCTGGGATGTATGCTGGGCTCTGATAATTTCCAAGTTACAGTTCATCCAGATCTCTTAGTTCATCCGTCAAAGAGACTGCCCCACAGTGAATACTATCTTCAAAGGCTTGTGGTGACCAGGTGAAGAGCTGTGTTCACAGTGATTGTGTTTTACATTTGAATAATTAATCCTGATGAATTAATGTGACTTGTGAATATTGTTGGCTCTATTAAGTATAAAATATCCTGGAAACTTTCAAGTCACTTACCTGGAGCTTCCTTCATACAATGCAATAATTTACTGTAGTTATTCAATTTGTAGAGTCTCAACAAATTTGTTACAAATTATATAATAGCACTTTATTTCCCTTGGAATCACAGTGTTTTGTGTTGTTTAGGATGATGTTTTCCTTTATACTGTTTAAGAACTAATCTGCATTTGTAAGGAGTCTGTGTTGAATATAAATGAAGTGGTACGTGACCATTAGTTTTTATGACACAAAGAATTTGCTTTCAGGGTATTTAAAGGGGAGCGTCCAGCTGAAAATATGATGAAAATCGGAAAATTGTGAAAATATGAAAAATTCCTGAGGAAAGCTGTTGTGTATGGCTATATATTGACGTATTTTGATTGTGTAATTCATAATATTTATGTAGCTATCCATGTTTATTCCACCCCCTTCAGTTAGAGGACCCTTCTGTTTATGTAGCAAAAGATGTAGAAAAGTATTTATAATAATATTTTGGTGTAAAGTAATACCAATCACATGGTAAAAACCAGTATCTGGCACCTTTCTCAGCAGGATGAGTCAGTTACCCACGAAAGAAGGAAGAGTGAGGTTTCACTGTGTTGCTCTCGCGCCACACCTTATCGCCCGTATCTGAAAGCTAGTTTTTCTAACCTTCAAATCCCTAAGCCTTGGCCATTTATGGGCCAATTCTAATAAAACAAAAACTAAGTACTGTAGTAGAACAGTATATTGTGTATGACTGAACTTATATATTTTCTTTATATTTAGCTTGGTTTATTATTTGCTGATTTATCTTTATAAATATTTGGAGGAAAAATGGTAAGTTAGGATAAAAACTCGTGCACCCAAAACGAAAGCAATACAGTAATCAGCAATATCTGTGTGTGACGTTGAAGAGGAGTAAATTACCTATACTCCACATGAATTTCAATGTACAGTAATCTAGCAAGAAGTTATGGAGAAGTAGGATTTTGAAAATACCGTATATACTCGTCTATAACCTCCCCTCGTTTATAGGTCGACCCTGATTTTTTTGACCAAGAAATTGTTAATTTATGATATTCCTCGTTTATAGTTCGACCCACGTTTTTGAGGGTAATGGAACAACAAAACCTTCAGTAAAAATGCTCTACGTTCTATAAACTGAGGCTCGCCGTGCCTGAAACACAGAGTGCCGAAGGCAAATTGTTTACCATTTATTATTACACCACTTTACACTGAAACGCGGGTAGTTTCAACAAAAATATTGTATATTTCCATTCAAGTATTTATTCAAGTCAATTAGGAGGGAATATTATTGTAATACAGTACAACAGTTTTTTAACTAAACCATTCGAAAAACGATTACGGTAACATCTTTTGAACGAAAGAAAGCGAAAGTCATTGTTTTCGTCACGATTTTATCCCTTTTTCCACTAATACGTACGTCATTTCAGCAAAAATATTACATTTCCGTGAATGCATTATATGAAGCACAGTATGAATAGAATACTATTGTAATATAACAATATTTTAACCAAAAACTATTAAAAAAACGAGCAGCCTCTTGAACATCGGAAGGTTAGGTAAAATCTTTTGTTTTCGTCATGTATTTTATCCTATTTTACATTAAAATACATCATGTTTCAGCAAAACTACTATTTATTTCCGAGAATATATTCGTTCAGGCACAGTTAAGGTAAAATATACATGTGGTGTAACAATTTTTTAATGGAAAACGATTCGAAAAAACACATGTACCGTCTAGCTGACGCAACAGCTGGTGGTGCGTCATGCGTCGTTGTAAACAATAGGAGGTTGAAGTAGATTACCAGGTATTATATTAAGTGTGAAATATTGAAAAGGTTTTTATTACCGGTATTTTTTGTAGATCAATGAGAACTGTGATACCGTATATGATATGATAAGTTAGCCTGTGCTAAGAATTTCAACATAGACTACTGAAAGCACGTTGTAAGGTAATTTAGCCTATTGTAAGTTGGTGGGCATTTGCTGAAGGAACTGCACAACTTTTCATTACTAATTGGTACATATTTTACATTTCCATTGTTTACTGGCAGTAAATGGTAAATATTTTTCATGTATGAAGCTAAAAGTTGCTCCTCGCCCTTCCCATCATGCACGAGTTCAACCTAACAAAACTATTACGCATGTATAGGACGACCCCCAATTTTTTGCCTAAAAATTTGGTATTAAAAACTCGAGTACATACGGTATATAAGAATACAGTACAAGGGAAAATCGGGGTTTACGGATTAGGCAGAACCAATTCAGGGGTATATCAACAATGTATCTGGTGTCCTTAGCTGCTGACAGGAAATTGATATTGATTGGTCATTTATTAACGAATATTGTGCCACAGCCTGACTGACGCTCCCCTGAAACAAGATATTTTAGTTTGTATAATCCCAAGTGTGATGGCCACATGTTAAAGGTTTTTGGAGCTTAATACTGACATAGCTTCAGGATGGGCCGACATTTAATGAGCAAAACATTTCTTGTCTTATATAATTATAGCTTTACTTGTCAATATACAAAACTGCTGTACAATAAATTTGGAATGTCTTACTTTCAGGTCAGATATGGTGTTTGAAAATTCTCTTCTGAGTAGTTTTGAAAATATGAAAATTGCTGACGTTGATGAGCCAACTTTAGAGGACAATTTTCACGATGCCAGTGATTCAATGGAAGGCATTGTGAAATTGTCTCCCTCAAGCCTCGAGGACCATGGACTAAAAGTTGCGGAGACAGAAATAACCAAGATCATGAATACATCATTTATAATCGTGACTGACGGCCTTAATGATTCTTGTGATGCTTCTAATGAAATAAAAGAGGAAATTGAGTCTTATTCAGCTACTCATGAAACAAGAGAGGCTCAGAGTTCTTCAGAAAACTCGGCCAATGTGGGAGAGTTTTTACATGACCCTCCTGTGACTGAAGTTTTTGTAGATAAGGAAGAAATGAAAGAAATTATCCCAGAGGTGAAAGAAACTACCCCTGAGATGAAAGAAATTATCCCTGAGCAGAAAGAAACTATCCCAGAGAAGAAAGAAACTATCCCTGAGGTGAAAGAAATTATCCCTGAGGTGAAAGAAATTATCCCTGAGAAGAAAGAAACTATCTCAGAGGTGAAAGAAATTATCCCTGAGCAGAAAGAAACTATCCCAGAGAAGAAAGAAACTATCCCTGAGGTGAAAGAAATTATCCCTGAGGTGAAAGAAACTATCCCTGAGGTGAGAAGAAAGAAACTATCCCTGAGGTGAAAGAAATTATCCCTGAGAAGAAAGAAACTATCCCCGAGGTGAAAGAAATTATCCCTGAGGTGAAAGAAATTATCCCTGAGGTGAAAGAAATTATCCCTGAGGTGAAAGAAATTATCTCTGAGAAGAAAGAAACTATCTCAGAGGTGAAAGAAATTATCCCTGAGCAGAAAGAAACTATCCCAGAGAAGAAAGAAACTATCCCTGAGGTGAAAGAAATTATCTCTGAGCAGAAAGAAACTATCCCAGAGAAGAAAGAAACTATCCTCGAGATGACAGAAATTATTCCAGAGGTGAAAGAAACTATCCCCGAGAAGAAAGAAACTATCCCCGAGAAGAAAGAAACTATCCCCGAGATGACAGAAATTATCCCAGAGAAGAAAGAAACTATCCCCGATATGACAGAAATTATCCCAGAAAAGAAAGAAACTATCCCTGAAATGAAAGAAACTATCCCCGAGAAGAAAGAAACTATCTCCGAGAAGGAAGAAACTATCCCTGAAAAGGAAGAAACTATCCCAAAGATGAAAGAAACTATCTCCGAGAAGAAAGAAACTATCCCAGAGAAGAAAGAAACTATCCCAGAGAAGGAAGAAACTATCCCCGAGAAGAAAGAAACTATCCCAGAGAAGGAAGAAACTATCCCAGAGAAGAAAGAAACTATCCCCGAGAAGAAAGAAACTATCTCCGAGAAGGAAGAAACTATCCCCGAGAAGAAAGAAACTATCCCTGAGATGAAAGAAACTATCTCAGAAGTGAAAGAAGAACAGATTGAAACTATCCCAGAAATGAGAGAATCTGTTTTAGAAGTGAAAGAAACTATCCTAGAGAGAAAAGAGTTTGGTTTAGAGATGAAAGAAAACATTCCAGGGACAGGAGTGACTGGCTCAGAGAAAGAAGAGGTACTGCCCGTGCCAGAGGAAGCACCCATAGAAAATGTTTCCTCTCATCCAAAAGAAGCTTGTAGAGGTTCCATGATTGGCTCAAGTGACTTTAACTTGGATGTTTTTGAAACTAAGGCTTCTGTTATGAAGAGTTGTAATAAGGACAATGGTATGAGTACACAGATTGCTGCCATGGAAGAGGAATCTTGCAAGAAGCCACAGATGATTAAACATGAAATTGTTGGTGAAACTAAAAACTTATTTACTGATAAATCAGTGACAGAGAACATATCCAAGAAAAGTGAAATCTTAGTATTAAAGAAAGAGCTCTCAGAAGAAACTGTAGCTGATGACAGCCCACTGTCTCAAAAAGGCTGCCAGATGGATTTCCTCAGCAAATTAGATGATCCTAACTTTAATCCTTTTGCCACCAAATCTGCTGTCATAAATTCTCCTGACAAGAAGGAAGGTGCACACTTAACTGAGGATAAAGCTTGTGTTGACCAACCAATAACAGAGATGATGAGTGAGAAAAGAGAGAACGTAGCATTTTCATCAAAATATGCAGGGTCTGAAAAACCAATAGATGAACTACCCCCTAAAAAATGCTGCCAGTTGGATATCCTGAGTGAGTTAGATGGCCCAAACTCAGATCCTTTTATCACCAAATCTGCTGTTGTAAATTCTCCTTGCAGAGAGGGCAATACATTTGTTTCTGAGGAGAATATGCTTTGTCAGAAATTAAAGACAAACATATTATCTGAGGAAATAAAAACATCACCAGCATGGACAGAAAAGTCATTGGAAAATGAAAGACCTCCTCAGCTAGGCTCTCAGATGGATTTTCTTGATAAGACAGTTGACTTTAATTTTGATCCCTTTTTGACCAAGGCTGCTGTTGTAAATTCCCCTGAAAGCAAGGGTAATGCAGTATTGATTAATAAAGAGCTTTGTCATAACCAAGTGACTCAAGTTGTACCCAAGCAGGAAACAGTTTTACCAGTGCAGTCAAAGGAAGTAATAACAGAAGAACTGATGGAAGATCCAGGTCCTCCTAAAAAGAATTATCAGTTGGATTTCCTAGATCAGTTAGACGGGCTTAATTTTGATCCATTTACAACTAAAACCACAGTTGTTAACTCGCCTGACAAAACAGACAGTGCAACTGAGAGTGAGAAGAAAAGCCCATGTCAGATGGCAAAGACTGGTGTTATATCTGAGAAGAAACAAACTAAGACAGAACAAGTTTTAGAAAAAGGAGGCTGTTCTCAAAAAAGTTATCAAATGGATTTTCTTGATAAATTGGGTGACCCTAATTATGACCCATTTACAACCAAAGCCTCTGGAAAGGAACCAACTGTATTTTCAAGATCAAAAGAAGCAAAGAATGTAGTACCGGGAGTTGTTCCATCCAGACATAGAAATGAGGAGAAGCAACCGGTTCCATCAGCTGGATCAGGATCAGTCCAGCATAATGTCTTCAGTCCTCTACCTAAAATACCAACAAAACGAGATGACTTTTACAGCAAGTTTAGCTTTGATGAAGAATTTACAAGTGCTGCAGAATGTAAGTATTTGCTGTCAAAATTATTGATATTTTTAAATTGTTTATTAAATTGAAATTTGCATATATTTCAAAGTGATACATTTAAGTTAATGAAATATTGACAGTCCCCAGTGATGAACAGGAACCAGATGAAGGAGAAAGCTTTCTGTCTCCAATGTTGTATCCACGTAAGTCTTTCATTACAGATTAATCGGACAGAGGGACACGGTTGTGGGGTATAAAGGAATTTTGGGAGTTTAGCATTTTGTAGAGGTGCTGTTTATGGTAACTTTTTGTATGTACTGTAGTACTTTGATTTGAAATGGTCATTCCATATCATTGTCATTAAGAATGGCATAGTGTTTACTAGTTTTAAGATATTCTTTGTGTTCTCTTACATAAATGTTCAAAGGCTAATTGTACTCTATTTATTTTTAGGCTTAATCAAAGCAATCACAAGTCATGGAAATATTACTAGAAATAAATGCAAAGATTTTTGCATCTTAAGATTTTTCAACTACAACGAAGCCTTGTTAATCTGGATTAGTGGGGGGATGGTGATCTGGATGAGCGAAATATCTGGATTATAGCAAATTTCAAAGCACAAAGGCCTACCACATAAACTTAATTGCCAATTTAACAGATACAATGAAAAACACTAATAATCTGTAAAACACAAATGAAGGTGATTATTTATTTAAATAAATGCTTACCTTTAATTCTAAAGGGCTCCTGAGGGTTGTGAGGGACAGTTGTTTTAACACTATAATATATTACTGTACTGTACTGCTTAACCATTTATACACTAATTTTGAGTCAGTGTCCACAAAAGCTGCACTTACACACTGTTGAGGAGGTTCAGGAGGTGGTGTAGTAATAGCACTGAGATCTGACACACCACTAAGACTTTTAAAGAAAGAAATGGAAGGGTCGGGAATCAACACATTAACGAGGTTTCACTGTATCACTGCTTCACAACATGCATTATTTCCATTAAACTGAGCATTGTTTTAGGATATATTTTATGACTTTATACTTACACTTTGTTCCTCCCTATATACCTGTAGTTGAAAATGGGTAAAAGATTACTCCAATAAAAAAAATCATTGCTGGTGATCGATCTTATGAAATGAGATTCTGATCTGTTTTAAGATTTTATCAGATTATTATGATTTCAGTACTGGATATAAATTGCCGCAATTAATAATAGTTTTGTCTTAGGTGATAATTCCCTTGATAATGCCTTAAAGAATAGCTGCTACTCCATTCTAGGTGAATTAAAATGGAATGACCAAGAAATCTCACTGTAGACCAGAGAGTAGATCACCCATGTTAGATACTACGTAGTGGCAGTCATCACAGTATTTTACTTTTGCCATACTAAACATTTTCATGGTTTCTGGAACATTTATCAAGTGACTGCTAGATCACCAGTCTGAACAACCTCTTGACAAAACTTACCTTGTTCACGGGACCATCTGCATTCTGAGGCAGGGATGCTGACAAACCAGATCAGTGCTAAGGATGTGAAACACTCTTTCGCCCATTCAGATCAGGGTTATGAAGCAAGTTCCAGGCCTGGAAATTTTTCTTGAATCAAATCCCACAGTCATCAACTTAAATCCTCATATTTGCCATGCTGTTTGGTTAACCCATGTAATTTTTTTTTTTACCTACCTTTAGGTCTCCTCTCCTCCACGTTCAAAATCATGCACCTTACTAATACAGTATTTTCAATACCCAGGTGCCTTCTTAACTCTGAACAAGGTTTCCAATGTTTCAAAATTAAATTACACATCCATCTCAACATTCTCATTTCAGCTCGCACAAACCTATGTATGTAATCCTCTTTAACTGTCTATGTTTTACATCCACACATCATTACTCCTCTCATACTAGTTCATATGTTTTTCCTTTCTGTCTTCCCTGATTATTTTGTAAAAAAGGAAAAGAAAAAAAGAATACAGTGTGTGTGTGTGTACTGAATATATACAGTGCCTATGACATGTTGCACACAATACAGTACAGTTCATCTGCCTCTTAAATGCTCATCAATGAAATTGCTCCTTGCAAATTTAATTGCTTGGCAAGACCTCAACCCCATATGTGCTGAATTCTGGGTTTTTACTATACAAAAAATTTTTTATTAATTTTTTTCTTCAAGAATGAATGTTTAAATGTGGCTTGAAAATTACAGTATCAGAATTAAAAGAGCTTGAAAGTAATATATACAGTACAGTACACAGTATATATGTGGGGGATGCATACCAGTATATATATATATATATATATATATATATATATATATATATATATATATATATATATATATATATATATATATATATATATATATATATATATATATATATATATATATATATATATTCATTATATCTTCATTTTCACAGTTTTCAATAACCCAGAGGACCTGGATGTGTTGGGTTCTCATGGCACCGAAGGTGACAAGTTAAGTCTTGTCCGTAATTCGCTTTATGTCAAATTTGATCCATTAGTGTCTGGCCGGCAGTCTCTTGCACCATACCTTGCACAGCATCTGAAAGAGTGAGTACATACAGGGTAAAGTTGTACAGTATAGTAGTGGACTTTTAACTCTTAGTTAACAAATTGAAAATACTTTACCTGAAAGGGTTTTGAATTTATTTCCCGTGGTTTACTGGAGAATATGAGAGTTATTAGGGTATAGATTAATCACTAAGAGTACAGTATTTATTGGGAATGTATTTATGACTACAGTACAGTAAAGTCTTCCTTATCTTAATTAATTGATGTGTGACCAGTCTGGTGAAGGGAGGATTTGTTACTTTATTAATATTTATTTAACCAGTCAAAGCTAGATATTTTGTCACTTGCAGATCTTTTATTTTAATTGTGGCTATAAAAAATTGAACTTAAGAGCAACGAACCCAAGAAGAAACTGTTAACTGAAAGATAAGGAGAAATTTAAATATAATTTAGGAAGCCCTAATGTTGTACTTTATTAAAAAAAAAATAAAAAAAAATATATAGGCTATATATATATATATATATATATATATATATATATATATATATATATATATATATATATATATATATATATATATATATATATATATATATATATATATATATATATATATATATATATATATATATATATATATATATATATATATATATATATATATATATATATATATAATGGTCCAGTAGCATTGCAAATATTGAGTGACATCACATATGTAAACACCTTGCATCAGTACACCTCTAGTTTTTCTGTTGTAAGCTGTTATATTAATGTCAACCACTTTTTCTTGCATCTCCTCTAAAGGCATTACTAGCACTTGCCATTCACAGTACAGTAAGTTCTCGCATCGTGGTTCTGTTCTTGAAAACCGCGACGGAAACAACGTTAACATAATCAATTTTCTCCATAAGAAATAGATAAAATATGGGAGTTACGTTTCCTAGGCTCCCTTTGCCCCATAAAATACATTACATATACAGAAATTCCTTGGCCTTTTTATTGAAAACAGAATATATTTATAAATAAACTAAATCATTTTGTATTGTACTCACTGATGGACGGAGGTGTTTGGTGGGTATTGGAGCGGAGGAGGAGTGAGGCAAGTAACTGAGACCCGGCGGTTGGCTGCTCCTCCCGCTCTGACTGGGGTTCCTCCGCTGCTGTTTGCTCCTCCTCGGCTGCTGGCCATAATTTACGCCACACACCATTCAGGCAACTTTCTGAAACTTCTTGCCAATGTTGTCGATTGCATGAAGAATGCTGTAACCCCGCCATTATTCTCGGATTGTAGGTTTAATTTCTCCGTCAGTTGTCTTGAGCAGTTGGTCCATGGTATGCCGTAAATAATACGCTGGATAACCATAAGGCTAACGTGGGCATTATGTTGATTCTGGTCCTCCATCCACAGCCAGCATCTTTTTCATCTTCTCAATCAATGAACTTCGAGCACGACTTGTTTTTGCTGCACTCAGAGAAGTACTGTACCACTTTCAGCACTATCCTATATCTTGTTCGTGCTGGTCCGGTTAGTACGCACTGTTGTGGGGGTTAAACCAAGCGCACCAGCAATGTCCACTGCACGTTCACCTTTTTCAAAATGGTTTAAAACTTCCATTTTCGTAGGAAGACTAATGGTCTTTTGTTACTTCTTCACAACACTATCATCAGTAGCACTTGATGGGCACGGAAGCCATTTCAAATGGTTAGAGTACAGTTTTAAGAGCAAAAACACTTAAACACGCACAAACGCTGTGGTAGCCTGACAAAGACTTGGGACGCCGTGACGCTCCGCGGGTGAGAGCGTTGCACGTCAAGATGAGATGCGCCGTAGAAAGTAATCCGTGACTGCATTATACTGAATCTGCAGGATAGTATCCAAATCAGGGGTGTCTAAAGAAGAGCGACGTTATAACGAAACACCGTTATCGGGGGCAACGTTAAGTGAGGACTTCATGTATCTTGGGTCTTACCAGCCAGTATTACCTTGCACCTGTGGGTTGGGCAAGAAAAAACAAGAACTAGTTGTTGCTGAGAACCAGTGTGGGGAATGCACACACACACACACACACACACACACTCTCACCTCAATTTTTTTTAAATAAGTAATCATAAATGAATTTGTATAAAAAAAATGGACTGCTCCCATATTTTGTTATTGGAAATTTCCAGTTAGTATCTAGTTAAGAGGGAATTGACTATAGTTACATTATTTGTTGTTTACCTAAGGAGAGGAGTTTAGTACCGGTAACTCTTTGATTCGTATATCCAACGCTTATGTCCTTATATTCCATCACAGTGTAAAAGAAGAGGTGGATCCAAGAAGATGCAGTGGTCTCATCTCATTCAGCCCCTCTCCTGTCAAGGTTAGTACAGTAATTATCATTTGTAAATAGGGTAGAATGAGACCGATAACTTAGTTTCCTAAGACGGTTCTGTTAACCCCCTACCACTTGTGCATGGGGTCCCCCTCTGCTGAATAAAATCATCTGGTGTTAAAGCACGGAATTGACTTCATGGTAGACTCACATTTTTAATACATTTCTTTCTGATATATTTGTGAGAGGATTTTCCCATTATTATTTATTTGTATGTTTTGTGTGTGCGTCTTCACACACACACACACACACACACTATATATATATATATATAATGAATGATATTGGAAGGAAAATTGTATGAGTGGGTGAAAGGATGAACACTCATTAACTCTGGGCCAGCCAGTGTATTAATCACTCGGACCTGAAAAGTGAACACATAAAATACTTGGTAGTTCTCTGATAATTTTTTATATATTGCCTAAAAGAGGAATAAACAGTGTTTTAACAGCCCATTGGATATAGTTCACCTTACAGGATAGGTTTGGTTGGACAAAACATTGACTATGGTCTTTGAAATTGCTGTAGTTGCTTCTATATCTTTTTTTTTATTTTATTTATTTATTTATTTTTTTTTTTTTTTATTTTTTTTTTCCTTTCTCTATCAAGGTGTTTCTCTTATGTCAGGGACCAGGTAACAGAAAAGAGGAGGGTGGGTTTCTTTCTAATTTATCAAGTCTTTTTGTTGGATCTCTTCTCACGTGAAAAATATTAATTGTTTATGTGTTTTAACAGCGCCAGAGAGATACAGAAAGAAGAGGAACTCCAATGAAAGCAATGATCAGCACTTTTGCTGATGAAACTTTTGCAATGGATGCTACAAGTCTTGAGAATACAACTGTTCTTGAAGGTGGTAACACAACAGTTGTGTCTTCTAATCATTCCTTGAACAATACCACCATTAACAGTACTGGCAATGTCAATGAAACTATCATTCACCTACCAGTAAGTAGAATGAACCTGTATTTTTGTTTTATTTTATTTTATTTTATTTTTTAGTTTAAACTGAGTTTTTTCTATATACAGTCGGGTCTCAAAGTACTGAATGCATAACTAGAGTACACAACCTCGCTTATACGCGGTTGATCCCCTTACGCTTGGGACTTGCTCTTTAGTGAGCCAACCCACCCAACCTTTCTTGCTAACTTTGTGTCTTTTCCTATTGAATCTACCCACCCAGCATTTTTCACTAACTCAGCATCATTCGCGTGAGAATTGAGTCTACCCACCCAGCGTCCCTCTTATTTATCATGTCATAACTTTTTAATCATATAATTTTGCATTATTTAAACAGTAATAGTATCTATTTTATTATCCATTTTGATGGTGCAGCTGGTTGGTCTTATTGTCAGACTAAATAAATTATGGCCATACTAATAATAATAATCTCGCTAGGTTTTAATTATCTTGACCCCTGAAGATTAGCCACCCTTAAGCTACCTTAGGGTTAAGTTAGCTTTAGGATGGTTAGTATATAATGGGATCGTGTTTGTAACGTTGATATTCATAACTGAGGAACCTTCTGTATATGGTAATTACCAGTACAGTATACATTGGTATTCATACTTAGCCATATATAGTTGGTCTGCAATTATGGTGTGTCAGTTATTAACTAAGTTTGTGCTGGACTATGAAGAAAATTCAGAAGTGGACAAATATTTTGTTGCTGCTCTACAAGGAATCCCATATTCCCTGCAGTTGTGTGTAAATGAGGCAGAAAGTCAGATCAGCAACCTGGGACTTGGTCAAAATTTTTGTGATGCCATATGGAATGTTTACTAGAGTGGGTGATTGACACTGTTTACATTGGCTAACGCACTCAGATTGATTGTTTGGTAATTGCAACATTTAGTGAGGTTTTAGCGAAGAAATGTGGAATTCAAATTTAATCTAGCTACCCTTAAACTACTTTATTCTTAATGTTACAATATGCATTGATTGTTAATATGGTAAATGTTTCCATGCTTCCCACTGCTGGCTGACACTGCTTCTTCACAAATCAATACTAACTTTTTTTTTTAAGAATGAGCTGATGAACACTTGTACAGTCGGAAACCATAATCTCTAGCACACCTGGGTCGGTGCTGGAGGTTAGTACAGCATCCTTTCTGGACGGGGGCCCACTCTAACTATCACGAGGCAACACACGCACGAACACACACAGTCATAGTACGGCTGTATAGATGATATTATGTATAAATATTGTATATGGCATTTTATACCCTGCATTATCTTCATTATATATGAACACGAAGAAAAATTACCATAGGTTGTAGTTACGAAATTATGAATGGAAATAAACACTTCCAAACCACCCAGTGAATCCACACAACGTTTACAGTGCTTGTGTGTGTGTATGTCAGACCACGATGCTTCCACCACACCCCATCTATATCTTTTATTTTCCCTTCATTCGCATAACTATATGAAAAATCGTGTTTAATTTAACTACATATTTCAAAAACCTTAAATTACATGTGGATCAGTCACTCCTCATTTGACACACATGTAGTGTGTCAAATGAGGAGAGAGAAGGAGCTCTCTAGTGTTGGTGCTGGACGCCCAGGTCAGTGTGGGACACAATTTTGAGGTGTGGGTGTGGCGGTTCAGGTCTTATGGTCAAAAATGGGTTTCTCAGGTAAGGGTTTACTGACCTCTCTGCCTAATTCCTATGGATAACCATACTTGGGGTATTCACAAGGCCAGGGCAGCAGGTGATGAGCCGGTCTTGCTGCTATGGATGGCCAACTCCCACATATTATTGATCCTTTTTAAGATATAAAAATAAAAAATCTCCATTGCCACATGCAATGACGGGCCACAGAAATAATCTGGCGGGCAAAATTTGGCTGCGGGCAGTATCTTTCTCACCCCTAGTGTAACTGGACGAAACTATAATTTTGTTCTGTAACTTTTTTCCAGTTGGCTAATGCAGAGAAAATGGTGACTGAGCGTGAAATGAATGACAAACTCAAGAATATGGAGTTTTATATGCAGGTAAGACACTAAATTTTATTTACTGTATTAATAACACTGAAGATTATAAGTTAAATCTCAGGTGGGATTGCATTTACGATTGTATCTAAGACTGCAATTTTCTAGAATGATCAGAAGAAGAAAATATTTTCTTGTGAAGCCAAAGATGATATTTTACTACAGGCATCCCCCCCGTTACGGAAGGGTTCCGTTCCCGGAAAATTGACCGTACCGTGAAATTCCGTACGCGAAAGCTATTTTCCCATTGACTTCCATTATAAAACTGGAGATGCGTTCCTAAGGAATTTTTTTGGCCCACAAAAAGTAATTCAAGCACTTTTATTAATGAAAATAAACATTTATAAACACATACAATACAGTACATTAAATAATTTATGATATACCTTCTTAAAACACCAATTTAGGGGTTAATATTGCATTAACAGCTATGTGTATGTTTATTTGAGTTCCCCGTCATAGGAGTCCATTTTCTCTCACGTCAAGGCCGCCTGAGTCATCCGTTTTCTCTTAATCTTAAGAGTTCACCAGGGACTACTGTATTATTTTTTAGTGGTGACACAGAATTTGATATTGCAACTGGGGTTGCAATTGTTGAGGCAACTTAGGTATGTCTGATTACAGTTGGAATATTCAAAATCCATTTTGAGTGAAGTTTAAAGCTTCAACTGTCTTTATGGTTGGTAAAACTTGTCAGTCTGAATGGCGTGTGTGAGGCTTTGTGTTTGTACAACCGCTAAATATATAAATATATAATGTTATGGTAATTATCAGAAACACACATAGGCATGATGAGGTTTATTACAAAGTGATGAAAAGGATACTGTATAGTGGGTAGTACACAAAACATGTGCTAGCCATGTCTCTTTATTTGAGTGCCCCATTATAGGAGTCCGTTTTCTCTCGCTTCAAAGCCGCCTGAGTCGTCCGTTTTCTCTTAATTATGAGTGCACCAGGGACTACTGTTTTATTTTTTAGTGGTGACACAGAATTTGATATTGCAACTGGGGTTGCAATTGTTGAAGCAACTTAGGTATGTCTGATTACAGTTGGAATATTCAAGATCCATTGTGAGTGATGTTTAAAGCTTCAACTGTCTTTATGGTTTGTAAAACTTGTCAAGTCTGTCAGTCTGAATGGCATGTGTGAGGCCTTGTGTTTGTTAAAATTTACCCCAATTTCCGTAAGGGCGGATTTACGGGCCGTAACGCGAAATTATTGGTCATAGTTTACAAATTCAGACTTCCATGTATGAGATGTGTCTATCATAATCCCACTCTGATATCTTCACTTTGAAGTCATATATATATATATATATATATATATATATATATATATATATATATATATATATATATATATATATATATATATATATATATATATATATATATATATATATATATATATATATATATATATATATATATATATATATATATATATATATATAGGACAGAATAAACAGAGAAGAGGAAGATATATATATATAGGAGAGAGTATAGAGTATAGGAATGTAAAGATAGGAAACTTGGTAGCGTGGCCTGGATGTTATTTGCACAGCGTCACTACGCTTATCTTATCTCGTATGTCAATACACATATATTACTTCATAAAGGACAACTTGTTAAACACACTCTTGATACAACTTCTTGCCTTCACTCAATAACATGGACACATTAATATCACTGCTATTATATAAGGGTACTAACACCTCATGCTTCGTTATAGCACTGACTCTAGGGCACACACCTGAATAGATACACTTCCCTGACCATTAACTCACCCCTGGACGTTCTGGCAGACTCCGCCACTGTGCCTAGCGTAGGCCCAGTGAGTGCTGGCTGGGCTGCCTCCATCACAGGGAGAGTCTGCTTAGCTGACGATGCCGTGGTCTAGTCGGGAGGTCTCCCTCCCGACCTGGGGAGGGGACGTGCGTGACTCCGCTTAGTGAACCGAGTGACGACCCGAACGGGAGAGAGATGACAGCAACCAGAATGATAATGATAATGGAATAGGAATGGTAATGCCCGTGGACGGGACTGTAGGGCCTTTATATGGGGTCGGCCCAGCCGGCCTCTGACCTCTAACAATTAACACTAAACTGGTTTGATCTGGATAATTGTGTGCAGGTGTGGTCCTGGCCAGGTGTCTTGGCTAGGTGCGGTTGTAGGTCACCGGCTCACGTCATTAGCGGGCCAGGTCAAGTCCCTAGGGTCGACCTGAGGTGTGTCAACCTGGAATGCGGTGGTACCACGAGGTCTGTGGTGTACTTGCTGTTATATGTGACATAATTCTGGGCTGTAAGGTTTGGTCTGACAATCACTCATTACACCTCCCGCCAAGACCAAAGCTTCATCACAGAGACTGATGTCACATACAGACAGCAACATCACGTGTGGTATCAAAGATAATCCCTGGGGCGCTAACATAGTTTCACATTTACAAACAACAATCTCATAGGTGTATGTTTTTCTACTGGCGCTAGTTTGATCTGACAAAGCTCACTATACCTCCCGCCAAGATCAAAGCTTCTATGCCAGGAGAAAAAGGAAACATAGTAAGTGAACATAGAATGAAAGAATCCTTCATATGTAGCATAGTGTCCGAGGCGACCTTGCAAATCACATTCTACAACCAATAATAGGTGTTACATTTCCTTATCAGCCCATGTCCAAATAACAATTCATCTCAGTCAGTAATATAGCTACAACATCGTGTTTCATAGTCCAAGACATTGATCAAATGAACTCATAGAAAAAAGTGAGACTAAAAAAAGACATTCTTTGTAGTAAACATCAACAAAATCAGAGAAAATACTTCAAAATACACAAAAAATGTTCCTACTTCACATATTAGGGTATTGATATCTTTTTATTATACATCAACAACATCAGTACATTAGTTGGGTCCGGCATAGCTCACGTCTTCCATCCAGCTGGTATCTGAAAAATAGGGGATGGCGGCAGCTCAGCAGCTGTAGTCGGTTGGTCCTTCATCATCGACTTTCTTGTGATGTCAGGACAGCACATCTTCTGTCTTCTTTCTTCACATAGCACATCTTCTGTCTTCTGTCTTCTTTCTTCACATACCGCACCTTGTAGGTCGTTTCTCCACACCTTCTGACTTCTTCTCACTTCCTCCTGGTTTCCATACTCTTCCAGACGAGTTTTCTGTCCCATCTGCGTTCTTCCTCTATACATCTTCATTTTCATATTCCAGATGAATTTTTCTGCTCCATCTGAGTTTCTTTATACATCTTCGTTTTCCGTCATATTCCAGATGAATTTTTCTGCTCCATCTGAGTTTCTTTATACATCTTCGTTTTCCGTCATATTCCAGATGAATTTTTCTGCTTCATCTGCATTTCTTCTCTGCAACATCATCATTTTCAACATATTCCAGACGATTTTCTGTTCGTCTGCCGACGGCCCTCTCCGGCCGGGATGAAAGCCGGTCCACTGTTTGGGCTGTCGTCTCCTTAGATGACTGTAAGGCAGGTTCCGCGGACCAGGGCTCGCCCTCCGTACGTGAGTGTCGGCGAGACCAAAGACCGTCCTGTCTTACACCTTCCACAGTGGTGAATCCCTCCCTGGCTGGGCTCACCAGGGTTCGTTGTGTGGCGATCCATTCCACACTCCTTACTTCCTAAAGTAGAAAAATATAAAATCTTCTTAATCCTATACCAAGGGAGGACTTGAAAGAAGTGACGTGGTGTGTGGTGGGTTTCGTGCTGCCTTCATCAAGCTGCATTCATCACGCTGCTTTCATCATGCTGGTTCTTCTCTGCTCGTATGTACTGTGGTTGACGTCCGGCTGGCCATGGGTGGTACTGTGTGTGACATTTGACAGAGAAACAATCCTAAAGGGGTGATGGATTAGTTGGAAGTGCATTCGCAAAAAAAAAGTTTACTTTATATGTTAGGTCAATGTTTGGCAACTATCATTTCCGTCACGACAATGTTCTCATCAGGCTGGGTCGGGGAGTGAAGCTCTGCGCACTACACTGAATATCATTTATCACTGCGCGTCAAAGAGTACATCACAAATCATAATAGCATAAAAATACACTGAGTGAAGCTCTGCATTCATCGCAATATTACTTTATATTAACCATCATCATCAACACACAGCTTACGGGACAAAAGACGGGGGAATTAGTGTGGTCAAGCGAGGCGGGGCAGGTCAGAAGGACGTGAGGTCACCCGAGCGGGGTGGGGCGAGGCGGGGCGGCGCGGGGCGAGGCGAGGCTGGCCAGGCCCAGCCAGGCTGGTGCGTTGCGGGTGAGGTGGGGAGGAGCCGAGGCGTGGTTGATCGGGCCAAACCGAGGCTTCGCGGGGCGGGGAGGTGCACGGAACGGAGGGGCGGGGCAGGGCAGGGCAGGGATGGGAGGAAGGGTAAGGAGGGTGAGGTAAGGATTAGGACAGGGAGGAGGATGTAGGTTAAAAGACATGTTAAGTTATAACAGTTAGTACGGATACCGCTTTCATCACTGAAACATAATGGCTACATTCAACACTGACCAACAATCAAACTGCACTTGGGCTACTGAGAATGCCACAGATAGCGGGTGACACTGAGAAATTACGTTAAGCACTGAACATATTTCTATTAAAAATTCGCACATACCACGACGAGAGACATTTACTTGAGCTGTAACGGTGACACACTAGGACACTTTTCACGCTACTAGCAGGAACTTCTTATCACGCACTTTTGAACTAACGAGCCAGGTGCTATGGCTAACGGGGGAGGGCATGGGTTTACGTTAAGTACACTGTTACCAATAACAAGGGACGCGGGGGGCGTGGGTTAACGTCATAGTTCGCTGCCGCCAATGTAATGAGACAGAATAAACAGAGAAGAGGAAGATATATATATATAGGAGTAGAAATGTAAAGATAGGAAACTTGGTAGCGTGGCCTGGATGTTATTTGCACAGCGTCACTACGCTTATCTTATCTCGTATGTCAATACACATATATTACTTCTTAAAGGGACAACTTGTTAAACACCTCTTGATACAACTATTTATTACTTCACTCAATGACATGGACACATTAATATCACTATTATATCGGGGTACTAACACATCATGCTTTACGTTACTTGACACTGACTCTCGGACACACCTGAATGAATACACTTCCCACAGTAGGTAACTCACCCTAGGACGTTCTGACAAGACTCACGTGTACCCTGACGTAGGCCCAGTGAGTGCTGGCTGGGCTGCCTTCATCACAGGGAGAGTCTGCTTAGCTGGTGATGCTGTGGTCTGGTCGGGAGGTCTCCCTCCCGACCTGGGGAGGGGACGTGCGTGACTCTGCTTAGTGAACCGAGTGACGACCCGAACGGGAGAGAGATGACAGCAACCAGAATGATAATGATAATGGAATAGGAATCGACCCCCGAATGCCCGTGGACGGGACTGTAGGGCCTTTATATGGGGTCGGCCCAGCCGGCTTCTGACCTCTAACAATTAACACTAAACTGGTTTGATCTGGATAATTGTGTGCAGGTGTGGTCCTGGCCAGGTGTCTTGGCTAGGTGCGGTTGTAGGTCACCGGCTCACGTCATTAGCGGGCCAGGTCAAGTCCCTAGGGTCGACCTGAGGTGTGTCAACCTGGAATGCGGTGGTACCACGAGGTCTGTGGTGTACTTGCTGTTATATGTGACATAATTCTGGGCTGTAAGGTTTGGTCTGACAATCACTCATTATATATATATATATATATATATATATATATATATATATATATATATATATATATATATATATATATATATATATATATATATATATATATATATATATATATATATATATATATATATATATATATATATATATATATATATATATATATATATATATATATATAATGCTGAGAGCGTATGAGTTTGCCAAGCCTTGTATGCCATGATGTCACATTGGGAGAGAGTGACGCATCCATACATACGTTCACCTTCCACATAGGATATTGTTCACACTTTTGTATTAATCATTTTTCTTTTTCTATTTCATAGTTTTATACTGTACAGGTATTCCCTTTATTTTTAAGTCACATTATAGTACTGAAATAATTTTCCCACAACTTTTAGTTCCATTAAATGAATCAGTGGCAAAATGCATGGCCATCTCAAGGCAACAGCTGCTAATATGTATGATTTTTTATATCCACAGGACCATATGTTAAGAAAGAGTCGTGAGTTTGAAGAGGTACAGAAGACTCTGATGCAACAAATAACAGAACAGAGTATTGCCATGAATGGCATGGAAGAAGAAAATGCTACACTGAAGTTAGTGAAGCCTGCAGTTGTCAGGGTTTGATTTTAATTTATATTACAAGATTTTTTTGTGAGAAGAGGAAATATTATTGAAATTACAGCTGATTGCTCAACTTAGAGTGCATAGTGAATTGGCATGAAACATGGTGAACTAAGATTTACTGAGTATATAAAATGATAAAGGGATCAAATTTATACAATGTAGACATGTACAATATTTAGTTATTTCTACCTAGGTTAACCTTCTCATTCCACTCTTGTCTTTTGCCACTTAATTATTTTCTCCTCCTCTGAGGTTTGTGGTCTCCTTAACATTCTCCTCACAACCAGTGGGAGAAGAATGAAAAAGATAGATGAAACTGCCCCATGGCTTTGCTTTATTGATGTTTATGGACCATTTATTGCAGGTTCTAAGGTCACTCTTGAAGTAAACTTTACTTTATGACTGTTGTGACCTTGGTAACTTCAAATTTCTTTACACCTCCCAAAACTATATTAAATTTCATATATTTTGACACCTACAATATTGAAATTGTGTGGTGGGTTACAGAGATATGCTAAAAATAATGTAAGCAGACTTTAACATCAATTATCTCGCTCACTGTTTTGGCACAAACGTCATTCTTCCATCGCCCTTCTCATATATTATACCAAAATATGAATCTAGTACAAAAATAATTGTCATTAAGTGTGTGTGGCAAGAAGCAATAAATAAAAAATTAGCACTTTATGGCTGGAGATGTATGTAACAGTACAGCTGACAGTTGCTGCCTCACTATCTTAAAAGTATAGTACATATTGGCCAATATGATCTTATCCTTTTAATCCATGGACCAGAGGGTTGATTAACACTGCTTGGTGGTACTAAATCCCCTTCATGCCATTGGTAAATGGTGCTACTGTATATAGATAAGAAAAGTGCTTGCTGGACACTTAAAGAGAGTAGCTTTATTTATTTATCAGTATTTTAAGTATGCTCAAGAAAACAAAATTAAATCCTACTCCCACAGTTATTTGAATGAAAATTTCAGGCATAAAGCTACACAGTACAGATGTCCAGCAAACAGTTTTGGAAACTAAAGATATACTGCAATTTTTTTTTAAAGAGTCCGTATTTCATCTGGTACCAGTTGGCCAAATCCAGGCTATGGCCCATCAAGTACAGTACTGTAATCAGCTGTATCCATTGTAATATAATTGTCTAAGGTAATAGTAAAATTTACTTTCATAAATTATAGTGAAGCTGAATTACTATACTGACATTGTATCAGAAAGTGTCCATAAGGCTTCATAATGTCAAACAAGTTCTCATAAGGTGTCACATTCATGTAAGGTGTTAAAGTGTATAACAAAGTGTCAGTGTTACCACTTTACAATATCACAATAGGTGTGTGGTGGCAGTGGATACATCACCTTCCTAAGGGTCAATGATACAATCATTGGGCATTCCCAATCCATTCACCTGTAATTGGTTACTTGATTTCACAGTTGGCAGAGTGAAGGTGGTTGAATGTAGCACTGGCCATGCTGTTTCCTTGCAAACAGAAAGCTTAGTATACAGTGCACTGTATCCAGGCTGGTTCTAATGGACAGTCACGCTTGTGGGACCCACTTTCACTTTTCACAACCATACTGATTCATTAGAATATAAAATTATCACAAGTATACCCACAGAATTTGCATACTGAGTGTCTGTCACACTCACAACCTGATAAATCTTGAGAACTTTCTCACTGATGTTCTTGTAAAAGTTTGTGACTCACAGATTCAGCTTTGAAATTCCTAAAGAATTATGGGTTACTCAGATTGATTCTATAGACTTAATGTTCTCAAACATTGTCATGAGAAAGGTTAAGCTTTAAATAGAAAGCAATTTGGAATTACAGTACTGTAGTGTTTGCCATATCCTGACAAGAAGTTGATGGGGAAAGTGTTTTCTTATGTCTTTTTTTTTTTTATAGGCAGAGTATTCAGCAAATGCAGGGTGTGATGGCCAAGATTGTAAAGCATCAGGCTGTACAAGAAAAAGCACGCAAGAGCCAACTTCTCTTACTGGAAAATAAGTATGAAATTAAATTATCTGTGTTGAATAAAGAGTGTCATCAGAACAAAGAAGAACTGAAGAAATCTGAAGTTGCTTTCTTTGATTTGGTTAAGTAAGTTCACTGTGTTTACTGTATTTATATACTTGAACTGTACAAAGACTCCAATCTCAGCTTTTCAAAGTCGGTTTGTGCTCAAAATATTAATTTTAATTCCAAATTTATGCTTAAGATGAGTTGTGGGAGTTTTCTTTGTATGTTTCAAGGGGAAAAATTTTCTCTAGATTCCATTTCAAATTTTGTAATGGAATTCGATGGGACAACAGATACCAAATTATACTATGGAAATATTTTCAGGAATGTAACCCTTCTGTAACTTGAGGAATGCCTGTACCAATAACAATAGTAGAGGAATTATCTTTTGAAGGAATATAAAATGGAGGAAGGGAAATGTTTCAGATATCCAGGATTGGATGTGTCAGCAGATGAATCGGTGAAGGATGAATTCTATCAGTAGTGAAAGGAAAGAGTAATACAGTAGGTGTGTTTTGATATGTATGGTAAAAAAACCTTTATCAGAGGAAGGAAATTGTTGAGCTGGCATTATTTGTTTGTAAAGCAAGAACTGCAGGTGCAAGTGGAAGAAGCAAATTAGGAACATTTAAAATATAAGTGCTTGTGAGGTGAAAAGAATTCAGAGGAAAAACAAAAACAAGTTGGGGAATTGAAAGAGTTGTCTGTCAGAAAGCAGATTAAGGTTATTTTTAGTGGTATGACTATATTAAGGGAATGGAAGTGGGAGATAGGTAAAGGGAAAGAACAATTCAGAGGTGAAAAGTTGTTGAACCTGACACTGAATGATTTTTTGGGGAAAGGGTGTGTTGTTGATTGGTGATGTTAGGTCATGCAAAGCTACAGCTGGGGCAGATCCAGGAATATCAAGGAGGGGGGGGGGGGTGTTGTTGCTGTAAGCCCCCCCTCCCCCGAATTTTTTGAAATCTGGCCGATATGGGCATTTTGAGGCTATTTTCAAGCCATGTACAATCAAAGACAAAAGTCGGGTCACGGTTTTGTCCAAAGATTAAATATAACTCGTGAAACATTATGAGAGCCCTACCACAAGGTAGAGCACCAAAAGTTTAGCCCTTCGTCATATGTTTTCACCAAATTTCACGACATGACTTTTATCTTTCATTGTACATATAATACAGGTATTAAGAGATATTCTGAAGTCAATAGTAATTACTTTTTGATATATAAAAATGCCTGAGTACAAAACTGCATTAAAAGAAAAAAAAAATAGAATTTCTTGGTGATGAGGGGTCCGACCCCAACCCACCCACCCCCCAGATCCCCCTTGTACAGGGGTAAACCAGATGAGTTTTTGGGTCAGTTTTTGATTGGAAGTACATTACCATGGCAAAATATATTGTTACTGCAGTGAGAATGAATGACAGTAAATGAAGTAAAAAAAATTGTTTGTGTTCTTGAGCGCAATCAATGCTTTAAAGAGAAAGTTGATGATAAAGGGTAAAATACTATAATCATTATCTGGTACAGTATTAAGAGTCCATGTATTTCTCTCCTAACTTCTGAAAATCTTCTTGATATGAAAAATGTGGGAATAATATTTTACTGTTTCAAAAGATTGGAGTCCCTGGACTTTGTGTTTTTACTGTTATTAATATAAGTTACCCTGACTTTATTTTTATTTTATTTTTATTTTTTCTTAGTTGGGCATTAATGGTTATCAACACTAGAATTCTTTATGGTAAATAATTATTGTCACTAATGCAACCGATCTATCTTCTTTTATAGGAAGTTTGAGCGATTACGTGAGGTTTCAGAGGCTCTGTCAAAGAGCAAAGAAACTCTTATTACTGAAAATGAAAGTTTGAGAGTAAAGTTGGTCAACAAAGAAGAAAACATCAAGATGATTATTAAAAATCTTGAAGATCAATATGAAAAGTAAGATATAAATAATTTATTTCATACATACACCCACGAGTCAAGCACCAGGTAGTGGAGGGATTAATCTTTGTTGTGCTTGGGTAGTAAGAGTTGAAGGGACTCATTTTCACTTTGTAGTATTATTTCATGATCAGGGGTTTTCTTTGCAGTAAATACTTGTTTATCATAGGGGCCCATGGTAAGTGACTCGTGATATTTATGCACACTGAACTTGACATTTTCACCATGTCTTAGAATAGATGTTCTCAGACCTTCCAACCATGTCTTAGAACAGTGGTTCTCAGACATTATTTAGGTTTGGCTATATTTGCCTTGATCTACTGTTGTAACACTCGATAAAACTTGAGTAAATACCGAACAGTGACTTTCTCTAAATACCGAACAGTGACTTTCTCCCACATCTACTAACACCACTGCTTCCCATCCCATGCACTTAATATATTTGTCAGGAAACCTAAAGCTCTTTTGTAACTATATAATATGAAAGAAAACAGAGTAAATTCTGGCAAGGACACTATCTCACACATACAAACATCAACACTTCTCACCACATAAGCTGTTACTGGTTTAGTAATCTTTTTATACACATTAAGACATCCTTACAGAAACTAAAACCCTAGTAGTGACTTGTTTAGACAAGTTTATGGATTATAGGTACTGCATGTATGGCACATTAAAGGCTGTGGTACACTTGGCACTTTTGCTCCCAACATGTTTGGCAAACATGGTCCAATCAGCAAAACAAACATTTTAAGACCTTGGATGTTAGATATTGTGATATATGCATTCCTGACCTGTATAGTTTAACATAAGTAATGCAATGTGTATTTATTTCAGTGTAATTAATATGATGTTAGGTTACCAAATGTAGTAGGATCAGTTTGCCACCAACCTTCCCAGGACATCACGAGTTGTTACATTATCTGTATTTTATTCATACATTCTGTATTACTTTTCTGCTCTTTCAAGTGAAATTTCGTACTGGTTGATGAATGTAGTATTCAGTAATGAGCTGTCAGAGGGTGAAGTGAGGTGTAATGACTGGTGGTGAGAGAGTTGGGCAGTGGTGTAGGTAGGTCAGAATCGGCCAACAAAGGTACGTGGGTGATGGTCACATGTAAGGGTAATGACTCATCCCCATGGTCACCCTCCACACTCCTGTAGTATGGTCCTGTAATGTGTGGCAGCATGGCTGAGCTGACAGTTTTTGCAAATCATAGGCCTAGAGGTGCTTGAAACACAGCATGAAAATCAAGCTACTTGTAATGCGTGTAAGGCCACAAGGTACTAGTAACATTTCATCATGGATATATCTGTGATTGGCACTAGTCAACACCTATTGGTTATCACCGATATATCCGTGATTAACGCCAGCGGGTTGAACCAAAGTCTCATTACGTAATTGGTTATTTAAGTGGGACCTTACTGTATCGTGTTTTTTAAATTAACTTCTTTGTTAAGTACAGTACAGTAATTCTAAGCTGAATAAGAAGTCTCACTTTACAGTTGTTAATCCTGTAACCAAAAAATTTAGAGATATAATAAGATATTAATATTCCTAAAAATAACCATTTCAGAGCTCAAGAAATGCATATACATATGAAGCAAAATTATGAACAAGAGTTAAAGAAGGCATCAGTAATGTTGAAGAAAGCGGAAGTGAAGATCTTAACCCTGACGGAAACAGTGGAGAAAACAACTCTTGAGAATCAGAGGTTGTCAGATCTAATTGACGACATCACCAAAAATATGAGTGGAAGTTGAGCACTTGGACATATTTAAATTATTTCTTGTGTTAGGCTGTTATACTAGATTTTACATATTTTTACTTTTGTTTTTATTATTTTATACTGGGATTATTGTATATGTATTTAATTTCTTAATGAATATACAGGGTGGCTATACTTGTTTTATATTAATGGCTAACTTTTTATTTGTTTTATATTAATGGCTAACGTTTTATTTGTTTTATATTAATTGCTAACGTTTTAAGTTCTTCATAATTCATATATGCTGTACATAACATTGCTTTACTTCATTTATATATGCTATATCCATGATCAAGTTTAAGAATAAAAGTTTGTATTAAGGGAGAATTAACTTATAAGAAATAGTTTTAGCAGTATAGTTTAACATGCCTTCATGTATCTGTCTTATCTTATTTTTATAACAATAAAAAGTGGAAGAAGAAAAACACTTTATTTACTCCTCCTGCCCCAGAAAATAAGATCAGTTCCATTTTTAACACCTTGTCAAGCCTCTATTCACTTAATGCAGGGTCCTTTTGGATACAAGCCCAATAGACAATGCATGCACACACTCCTCTCATCTCCATTCATAACTATACGCTGCCACTTCCTGGATTTCTTTCACCTTATCCCTCCTTCCATCCACCTTGAGTTATAACTTTTCTAACCTTTCACTTCTCATATTGTCTGTATCGCTTGAGCAGACACTGGTCTGCTTTCTGTTATGCACTTTTTCTCTTCATGTCTAATTTGAGTGCTGCCCATTCCTTGCATCCTATCAAAACCAACTGTTGCACTCAAGCTGTTTTCTATGATTAAACTTTCCCATTTTCTATTATGAAACTTCCTGTTTTCAGTGAAGAAATTTCCCATTTTCTATGATTAAATTTCCTGTTTTCTATGAAATCTTCCATTCTCTGTGATGAAATTTCATATATATATATATATATATATATATATATATATATATATATATATATATATATATATATATATATATATATATATATATATATAAATCACTGTAGGTGCGCGTGATCCAGGCATATGCTGATAACCACAAGGAAAAAAGAAAACACGAAGTTCCCAAGCGCTTTCGTGTAATTCACATCTTCAGGGGTGAGTACAGACTAAGGAGAAATACATAACAAGGTGTATATATACAGTAGAGGAGAGTGAGATCAAGTCCCTAGGGGACAGTGAGTGTCCACAATGGTCCAGTCACTAGGCAGTGACCCTACTAATCTTCAAAAGCACCACAGCAGTCGGTAGTCAGGTCAGAGGGTAAGATGGCCCAACCTTCTCACCTGGTTACAAATCTTCTTAATTACGAAATTATCCAGTTTGTACATACCATTACTCAAATTCATGTTGATTGATTCGGTATGTTCCTAATGTCAATTGAATTACAAGGTAATATTGAGGAGGCATTATTCCAGTCAATGCAATGCTTATTATCCCTCAAATGAACAAACAGAGCATTGGATTCGTGGCCTGTCCTAACACTACAGTATATTCATGTTGTTTAAGTCTAGTTACAACACTATATATATATATATATATATATATATATATATATATATATATATATATATATATATATATATATATATATATATATATATATATATATATATATATATATATATATATATATATATATATATATATATATATATATATATATATATATATATATATATATATATATATATATATATATATATATATATACACCCTCTACCTACTGGGTGGGACTAGGGAACGCTTACCGGCTAGGCCACAAGGACACTAAAAGCAGTTCTAGACTCTTATATTTCACACAAAGCCTGTTCATCGAGCTGATGGCGCCGTGAACCTCATTGGGAAACTGCCCGTGCCTCTTATGTGGTGTCAGTAGCATTTTACCGAATCCAGCTGGTATGAAACGCGAGGTACATATATATACTTCATTTTTAGTCCATATAACACGCGGACTTTGAGGTCGTTGATTATATATATATATATATATATATATATATATATATATATATATATATATATATATATATATATATATATATATATATATATATATATATATATATATATATATATATATATTTATATATATATTACAATTACATTTGCTTTAAAAGGGCTAAAAAATCCTTTCATTCCTCTGTAACCAGACAAGTTCCTACACTTAAGAATATTTTGACTCTGCCCTATCGTGATGAATTTGTCCCTTTAGTTCGGTCCCTCAAGCTTCTAAATATTAATGTTGTTTTCAAGTTTGACTCAACCATTACCAATATGTTAATAAGGAATAGCCCAAGTTTGAATGTAAATGGAAGTGTTTATTGTATTCCATGTAGCAAATGTAATTGTAATTATGTAGGTCAGACAGGAAAAACACTGCAGCTCAGAATCAAACAACATAAGTATAATATCAGAACTGCATCTGAAAGCAGTGCCTTGTTCGTTCATGTTAGGAATAATAATCACCCCATTGCTTGGGAAAAAAGCTTAGAAGTATTCAAATCATCTTGTGTCACAGAAAGACTTCTGGTTGAAGCTAGTTTGATTAAGGAATTAAAATCAATAAACCTTAGTGATGGTCAGTTCAAAACTGATAATATGTTACATAAATTTATTTGTCAGTGGCCCAAGGTTAAAACTGCTTTGAAAACCTTTGATCTTGATGTATGACAGTTATTTTGTGGGTCCCTTTTTTCTGACCTGACCTGTCTAGTCACGTCACCACCCTTCTCTTAAGCTCCTCTACGGTTGTGTTGGTGTGGGGATTAGTGGATGTCATCATTATGACCTGACCTCATGTTTTTAGGTCACCCTGTATATTTAAGCCTCTCTCTGTCCATGTAATCTAGTTGCCTCTGAAGATGTCTTGAATAAAGACGAAAGCTAAGGTACTCCGTTGTTTCCATTTTCCCGTGTGATTTTATCAAGATATATAGATATATATATATATATATATATATATATATATATATATATATATATATATATATATATATATATATATATATATATATATATATATATATATATATATATATATATATATATATATATATATATATATATATATATATATATATATATATATATATATATATATATATATATATATATATATATATATATATATATATATATATATATATATATATATATATATATATATATATATATATATATATATATATATATATATCATCAGTCCATATAGTACGCAGACTTTTATATAAAAACAATACCTCGCTGGTCAGGAATCGAGCGCTGGACCTCTGCCTGTGAACAGGGATCACTAGTCACTACCACCGCTCCACAAGGACAATAAAAGCAATCCTAAGCTGTTTTATTTCACATAACGCCTGTTCATTTGTCTTTTTTAAGCAACATAAACCTCCATCGGGGATTGCCCATGCCATTTTACCGAGTCCAGCTAGCAAACACGAGGTTACTTTTACTGTATATCTCATCAGTTCATAATTATTGTATGAGGTCGTATTTATTTTATAATACACATTCTCAACACAAGAATTAAAGATTCTTGGAAACAAAATCGTAAAATTACCAAACTAGTGAATTATAAATATATTAATAAAACCAAATGAGTAAATCACAACTGTACTGATAAATGGAATAAAAGTTGTTTATGCAACCCACTTATTTTCCCGGTCTTACTGAAAGAAATTATACATATTAATAGTATGGAAATTGTTAGCAGAACTTAAATAGTAATGCTCTATTAACAAATTAAATAATTTAAGCATTTCATTAGATATATTTACTAATTGTTTCCCCCAGGTCTAAGTTACTGTGCTCAACTGTGAACCTTCACTTATCTTCCAGTATGTGCTAAGTTCACTAATTAGTTCCAACCTTAACTTACCCGCCTGAGCTGCTGACTCTGTGGGATACGTTATGTTTGGGTTCACACTCAGGATGGGATGGAGAAAGGAAACTCAATGTGCTCTCTGTATGCATATTGTAGTGGATGTACATTGCAGCTTGGTGCTGGGAAGGCAGCATGGTTACAAGCGTTGAGTGGAGAGAGCTGGTTGGTGAGGGTGCTCAGAGGAGGACCAGCTTGTGGGTCGCCATGCTCGCCGGCGGGAGCGAGGGCTGCCAGGCAGGAGGAGGAGGTGTTGCTTGCTGGTTGGTGTAGGTAGAAAGGAGTAGGTCACCACGAGGTCAGGTCTTATATAGAGGAGGTAGACGTGGCTTAATAGTTGACCTCCGTCATGTAAGGCGGCACTGGTTGACCTAGACCACGAGGCATACACTGGAGAATTCGCGGGGTCGGTTACTCAGTGACAAGCGTTTGTAAGGGAGGAATCCACTACAACTCCACTGTAAATTGTGGGTAGTTATATTAATGTAGACACATGTGGGGTACACAGGCACAAACTAGTAATACAGACACCTGTGGGGTACACAGGCACCTACTGTACTAGTAATACAGACACATGTGGGGTACACAGGCACCAACTAGTAATACAGACACCTGTGGGGTACACAGGCACCTACTGTACTAGTAATACAGACACATGTGGGGTACACAGGCACCAACTAGTAATACAGACACCTGTGGGGTACACAGGCACCTACTGTACTAGTAATACAGACTCATGTGGGGTACACAGGCACCAACTAGTAATACAGACACCTGTGGGGTACACAGGCACCTACTGTACTAGTAATACAGACACATGTGGGGCACACAGGCACCAACTAGTAATACAGACACCTGTGGGGCACACAGGCACCTACTGTACTAGTAATACAGACACCTGTGGGGTACACAGGCACCAACCAGTAATACAGACACCTGTGGGGTACACAGGGTACTACTACTACCGTAATACAGACACATGTGGGGAACACAGGCACCAACTAGTAATACAGACACCTGTGGGGTACACAGGCACCTACTGTACTAGTAATACAGACACATGTGGGGTACACAGGCACAAACTAGTAATACAGACACCTGTGGGGTACACAGGCACCTACTGTACTAGTAATACAGACACATGTGGGGAACACAGGCACCAACTAGTAATACAGACACCTGTGGGGTACACAGGCACCTACTGTACTAGTAATACAGACACATGTGGGGTACACAGGCACAAACTAGTAATACAGACACCTGTGGGGTACACAGGCACCTACTGTACTAGTAATACAGACTCATGTGGGGGATGCAGATAATTGCGGGTAACATGGGCTCCTCTGGGTAACATGGGTTCTTGTGGGAAACGTAGGTTTTTGTGGGTAGCGTGGATCTTGTGGGAAACGTAAGCTCTTGTGGGAAGCGTGGGCTTTTGTGGGTAACATGGGCTCCTATGGGTAACATGGGCTCCTGTGGGTAACATGGACCCCTGTGGGAAACATAGTCTTTTGTGAGTACCTTATAGG